TGTGATATCCAAAATTTCATTTCGTAAACTTTCTTATCATTGTGTGTGATATCTAAATCCAATTCTATTCGTATCATAACAGTGTGTGTGTGATATCCAAAATTTCATTTCGTAAACTTTCTTATCATTGTGTGTGATATCTAAATCCAATTCTATTCGTATCATAACAGTGTGTGTGTGATATCCAAAATTTCATTTCGTAAACTTTCTTATCACTGTATGTGATATCTAAATCCAATTCTATTCGTATCATAACAGTGTGTGTGTGATATCCAAAACTTCATTATCGTAAACTTTCTTTTCGTTGTATGTGATATCTAAATCCAACTCTATTCGTATCATAAATGATACTTCAAAAAATTCTTTGTGAAATAAGAAATATATCAATTCTTTGGTGCAAACCATTGGCATGTTTTGTAAGACAGGAAGCTAAATTTTTATACAAATCACATACAATGGTATATGCGCATTTCTTCATATTTACAAATACTTCCACAAAAAAATGACCTCAACATAATTTCTCCTATTGATAAAATCAGTAAGAAATCGAATTTGTGAAAATCCTTTTTGCTGCTAAAAAATTTGCAAATTAAATTTAGATATAAAATGTTTGACAATTTGATTGACATCATCTAACATTCATTAAATTTCATTTCACTTATTTCTTTCTTTTTCTTTCTCTCCCTCCCTCTGTCTCTTAAAAATAACACTTAAATATTGTCGTAAAATTTTCTCTCTCTCTTTCTCTTTTGATATCAATTCATATCATAAATATATAAATTTTCCTAATTTTATGTTGAACTTTTTTTTTGAGGTCATAATTCCGATAATGAAAGTAATGATATGATATGAAGAATACGAAGGGGAATATGGGGCTGCTAGAGACCTAATAATCACAAATGGTCATCTTATTCCCCCCCCCCTATTTTTTAGCGCGCTTCTTTTTCCCATTGTTGTTATCATTATTATCATGTTTAGTAGATTTGTTTCCCGATTCCTTTTTCTCCTTCTTAACTCGTCCCGTTTTTGCCGGTGGTGATTTTTTCGCACTTTTCTTGTTGTGTTTCTTGTTGTGCTTCTTCTTACCACGTTTTTTGGGACGAGGTGTTTCTTCCGCTTCATCCTAAAAAGAAATAGTTAAATTCAAATTAATGCATTTGAAATTTTTGAATAAGAAAGCTTTTTCATGTGACAAGAATATGATAAAATTTATTCATACATCTATAAAATTTTAACATAAATATCTCTACAAAAATTACATCTCCAGATTCGTCCATTCTTCGTGATCCTCGTTCACGAAGCCAATAATGATGTGTCGGTGGAGACACATCAATTATTATGCGTGATATTGCAGGTTCAGTGGTAGGTTCGAGTGGAATTTCTTCGATTGATTCTATTTCTGATGGAAGGGGATTAACATTTCGTGTTGTAACGAAGTTGGTATTTAATAATATCAGATCGCCCTGATAACTTTCCATATCACTTAGACGAATTGCTACTGCAGTTTGCACATCCGTTTCTTTTTCCTCTCCCGTACTTACAGCCATATCTTCGCATTCAATTTGGACAGCGGTATCATGTAGATCCGTAAGCGAAAGCGAATGTTCAACTGGAGTACTAGCGCACAATGGAGCTGGTGGATTATTAGCAGAATAATCGGCAAGGCTTGAATCGTCGCTACCAAAAGCATTTGGTGGACCCCTTGCAAGAATTCTATCGTCGGGAAACGTATTCATTATTAAATATGAAAGTATTAAACCACTCGACCCGATGTCAAACGTATAATATGTTGAAATTAAGAAATTACGTCCTTTTATAGTAGTTTTCCCAATTAATTAGCATATTTTATTTGCATCAAATTTGAATAGATTTCATCGATAAAATTTTCATAATCATTTTCATAATTTTCATATGCAAATTTCAAATATTTATATGAAAATTTTTTGAAAAATCAATCAAAATATTTGAATAATTAATTACTTTTTAAAAATTATTTTCTCTCATAATAATTCCTTTCATTTTTATCATTTAAAATTATATTAATTAAAATATTTCATCACTTATTTTTACAAATTTATAAATTCGCAAAAGAGTGATCATCCTCATAAATAAAATCTTAAAAATAATTTGTATGAAATGATTTTCCTAAAATTACACATTTAAAGATTAATCCTTTCAACAATTCCTAATTTTAGTTTATCCAAATTTATTTTTCATTCATATATTTGTTGTTTGAAAAAATTTTCGAAATTAATTAACTTTCCTTATCCAATTATATAATATTTGATTGAATTTCACCTTTTTTTCCGTATCAAAACTTAATGAAATTTGGTTTAATTTAATTAATGTAAAAAAAAATTAATTCTTACTTAAAACTATGTGATAAATTATGAAAAGTTTCATATTAGAACTTTGTTTTGATAAGAGGAAACGAGAAATGGGAGGAGAAAAATACTTCGAGTTGTGATAAAAATTGTAGAATAAATGATAACACTGGTGATAGTTTTTAAATTTGATTATTTCAAGTGACGATTGTAGCACTCATATATATCTTGTATTCAGGTATTAATTAGATTTGCATAATTTAATAAATTAATACTTTGTAATTAAGTTTTAATAAAATTTTTTAAAGTGAAAAAAGAAAAGTCATCCATTTTGTATGAATTCGTTTTATTTTAATTCGCTCTGTAATGATTGAACAGAAATGAAAGTTTACACATAAAAAAGGCACAATATTTGTTTAAAACAAAGCAACATTATGAATAGAATAAAGGTAGGATTATGAATAGAATAAAGGTAAGGATCATTTCATTCTTTTTTTTTGATTTTAACTTTAAAATAAAATTAAGCTATGAAATAAAAGATTTATTGATAGAGAAAAAGAAAATGACATAAAATGTCAAAGGTTATAATGGTATGAAAAATTAGGAAACACACATACATTTCAACTATTTCATGATAGATGTGGTAAAGTACAATAAAAGAAGGAAAAATTATTATATGGTATGATATGATAAAATAATAGTTATTGTTTTAATTCATTTAATGAGGAGGCTCATGTGAAAACAAAAAGATGAAGAATTTAAGTTGTATTTTTAATTATACTAATCAACAGAGAAGAATGATAAAATGTAATATTGAAAATATTAATTATACTAATCAATAGAGGAGAATGATGAAAGCAAAAACTACAATGTTAATTAAAAATTTCAAACTATTGTAAAACAAAGGGAAAAAGAACGAAACGTTTATTTTTTCATTATCAAAACAAAACTATTCTATTCCTTTATTTTTTTTCTTTAAAAAATAAATTTAATAATTTATTGAAAATTATCTGTCAACAATTTATATATAAGAAATTTGCAAAAAGAACAGAAAAGATTGGAAGACAGCAAAAATAAATGATAAACTAATAGAAATGAAACTTTTTTTAATTACAAATTTTAATTACAAATTAAACAATTCGCAGTATAAAATTTCTATTCCATTCAACCAGTAAATGTATAAATAAATGGGGATATTGCATGTTTACTTTGAGAAATATGCAATTTAGGTCAGCATAAGTTTAATTCATAAATTGCTAGAGAATCAAATTTCTTCGTCTATCCTTTTTTTGCTGTAAGAATATGATTACTACTAAGCATTTTTGATATGCTAAGCTTGAAATTAAATTTAAAATAGAGAAGTTATTTGAAAGTCTACCTAATTAGCTTCATTCCATGCTTTTGCTTCAAATGCTTCCTGTTCTTCGGCATCTGATTCATCGCTATCAGAGGGTGATACGGATCGACTTGCAGCCGGTGTTGATAGTGCCGATGTTGGACGAGACATTTTTTTTACAGTTTCTTCAATTACTTGCTCGAAATTTGGATTTGTAACTTCTAATGCTCTCCGTCGTGCTTCCCGATAAAACTACAATTATTCCCATAATTATACAGATAGATTTTTGTAGGCTAAAAACAAAAACAAAAAATAAATTCATTTTTCGATTTTCAATTTTCGTTTTGAACAAAAAAAACGGATTCAATGGAATTTGTCATTCTTGAAATTTAAATCGTTAAATAGCAACAAATTATAGATGATGAACTTACTGTTCCGAGAGTTTTCCAATCTATTAGTTCGCTCAGTCGTTCCGTCCGGTTTCGCATAATAATACGTTGACGTCGAGAAAGTAATCTATAAAATTAAAAATATATATACATACTCTTGAATTTCGTAAATACCGAAATAAAAGCAACCATTGGAATTAATAATTTCGTAATTGTTTGGCATTTAGAATATCGAAAGGTTCAACTAACGTGAAATCATAAAGAGTTTTTGCCAGTTCATCAATCGATTCATTTGGTTCTTTGAATCGACGATCAATAACAAAAATCCCGAATGTATGTGGATCTTGTACTTGCTCCTGAATGAAACATCCAAATCCTGAGAGATTGGTTGTAACTGATGGAACACCCATTACGGTACATTCAGCTATAAAAGTTATTTAACAGATGAAAGATCATCCGAGAATAGTTCATTTTTTGAATAGTCAAAAAAAAGGTTGTCAATGTGAGAAGTTTCGATTGATAACAAATATCAAACCTGGTGTATAACCCCATGGTTCATAGTAACTCGGAAAAACACCCATATGACAACCGCGGACAAAATCTTCATAATCCAAATTCATTAAAGGTGAAACAGATGAGAGAAATTCCGGATGGAATATTACCTTCAAATGCACTATTGACAATTATTATTAAATATCATAGTCATCTACAGTTGACGTATAAAAACGGAAAAAGTGATTAATTATAACATACTTTAACACGATCAAACGGTTGATTTATAAGTTGGGTACGACGGAAAGCATTTAATACAGGATCACAGGCATCATCAAGCATATTATGCGTACATATCGGAGGCAAAGTATCACGCTTAAAAAAAAAATAATTAAATGAGATTGATAAGTTAATTAAAATTTAATGTTAAAATTTGGTAAGGAGTTTGCAATAACTTAAAACTTTTAATTCGAAAAATTTTCACAAAATATTTATCATATTATTCCATATAGTTAGTACTTTGTTATTCATCGAATAAGCTTACCTTTGCACTCAATATGCAACGTTTTAATTGGATACGTTCATCCGGAAGTAGCAAATCTTCCATTTCTGGTATGCGACCTCTAAATACTTCCGTTTTTTCTTTTGTTCTCTTTCTAATTTGAAGATATTTTTAAAATATGAATAAACTTCCGAATAATGAAAATAAAAAAAACCATTACATTCTTATCATATTCTTATCATAACACTCTTATCATTAATATAAAAAATTTTCTTAAATGCTTAAACAAACTTCAAGCATGATTCGAACATTCTGGATGCTAAATTCTCTTTTATTCTCGATACTGTACTCTGTAATTGCTTACATACCGCTTGACCTTTTAACGATTCCACATTGAATGAATTTGCTGCAGCGGGATAAATAACAAATGCAACCACAGTGACATCTTTACAATTGGGATCAGTTGATGTCTAAATTAGTATCATCATTTCATCATTGATCATATCATCATCATCATCATCATCATCACCATCAGCAGCAGCAAATAGAAAAACAAGAAAAAAAGCAATTGTTGACAAACAAATAAATAGAAGAAAAAATTGAAAGTAATTTGAAAGGGAAAATAAACATTGATGAAAAAAGAAATCTTAATTCGATCAACTCATTTAACTTCTGGTTTCATTGAAAAGTTCATTAGTATTAATTAATTAATTAACTACATGTAAATAGGAATTTGCAAAAATATAATACGGTGAAAAATACTATATGAATGAAATTTGTAATTGTTTTCAAGCAATCGATTAAGAAAGGAAGAATAGAAAATATTTAATATAATTAAGAAGAATATTTGAGAATAAAAATAAATAATTCGAATAAATACTTTTTAATTTTAATACCTTTTAATTTTAAAATCAATTAAATAAAGTTTAAGTTTTAAAAGGAGAAAAAAGAAATGCGAATTATTTATTTTTATCCTCAAATATTAAAAAATAAAAAATGTAAACAGAACATGCTAATAATGTAAACAAACATGCTTATACCATATAATTTGTTTATATACAACTATATAATTTGTTTATACTACTATATAATTTGGAGAAATTATATAGTAGTATAAACAGCTACAGCAAGTTACTTACGAACAGTTTGTAACTGATTAGATGTAACACTCAACCGTTTAAAATTTATAATTTTACGAATGCTAAATTTCCTGATAAATGTATTATCAGAAACAATGCTTGTCTTTTAGGGAAATATAAAATGAATGACAACTTTTTGTCAAAATTTATTATAACATAAAAAGGATAAAGGAAGTGATGGAAAGAAAATTTTTCAGAATACTTTTGATAAAATGTAAGAGAAAACTTTTTCCTTTGTTGAAATAACCAGATGAAATTTAAAGTAGGAAGGAATGTGAATGAAATATCAAAATTGAAATACTAAAATATCAAAATATAAAATTGGAAAAATGAAAACTGAAATAGGAAAAAGAGTTTGAATGAAAAAAACTCCAATATTTTAGCAAAAATTTTCGATCATCAATTAAAATGAAGGTAACTTTACAGCCTTTTTTTTAACAATTTTAATGTTTCATAGTTTAGTGGCATAAGCTGTCACTAAAGTTTAACATTTTACAATTGTTGAAAATAAAATTTTTCTTCCTACTATTACTACAACTATGTCGTATATCTTATTATTTAACAAAAAAAGAGTTGAAATTTGTTGAAAGAAAAAAAAATGTGTTGAAATTCGCTGTAATTTATCGTAACCGAATCCATTAATCGCTAAATGAAAATTTTCACAAACAATCAAATAGTTGAATTTCAATTTTTTTATTCGAAGAAAAAAATTGTATTAATGGACTAATGAGTAATTTTAATTGTATTAATGAACTAATGAGTAATTTTAATTGCATTAATGAACTAATGGATAATTTTAATTAATGAACTAATGAGTAATTTTAATTTGTATTTATGAGGAAATTTTTCTATTATAAAAGTCAGAAATTCTGAATTCATTTTTTTATAAAAGTTAAAATTTTATCTCACTTTTTTGATGTTACACTTTTCCGGGTAAATGGATATGGTTTTAAATTATCAGTAAGCAATCAAACGATAAATATCTTCATTCAAAAATTTCAAACAGAAAAAGCTAGTCTAATTAGTTTATACGAAATGAGAGCAAATGAATGAAGTCCTGATATTGCTATTATCGTTTGTGTATTCATTAACTTAATAGTTTATTAACTTCTTTTTAAGATTCTTTTAAAATTTAATGATTGATTAAAAAAAATCAAACTTCTACTATTTTAATTGAAGTATTGATGGAAGAGAGAATATGCAGAAAGTTAAATTTTAATTTTTTAATAATTGAAATAATCGTGTAATCTCAATATTAAAGGAAATATTTCTAATTACTAGCATAATTGAAATTTCATACTTAAAGTTCTCTTTTTTTAGTTTTATTTGTACTATAAAATATTTGCGCTTTAAAATATTTCTTAATTATTAAAAATATATTAATAGCCTAAACATATATTAGTAAAAAAAAAGGAAGATAGGATGAAAATAAAACTAAATTATTAAAAGTGATAAGCAATTAATTATTAATAACATACCTTAAGGCGATAATTTAATCGTGCCAATGCTTCGATGAAAAAATCACCACCTTTATTTGTAAATTCATAACGTCCAGCCGTAAATAGATAGATTGTTTTATCCAAATTGAAATCATAATGTCTAAAAATATTAGTTATCACATATTGCATTATACATTCTAATGATAGCTCAATTATATACTTACTATCAGATGTGTAACCCCGTAATACGTCTGTTTTGGTACTTGCATAGAAGTTCTGAAACATTTTTCTCTCGTCATGTTTAAAAATAAGAAACAAAAATTGTACATACCTTTCCGACAAAATTCATATTATATATATATGATGACCGAGAAGAGTTTAAACTTTGTATGTATGTAACTTCCACTTATGTGAACTTGCGGAAATTTGCAGTTGGTGAACGAATGTGCAAATCCACATTTGAACAACTGTAGTCGTTTTGC